ATCAGAAATCCCTGGGCTGCCACCCCACGAGGGGTCCAGGGTGGAGTTTCTTCCTGGGCTCACAGGGTCCATCCTCTGAGGCTGAGGGATGGAATTCCCTCTTGCCCATGCCTCTCACTTTAACAATGTTCATTTGAAACTAAATCTTTGCATCCCTGGGCAGGGGAATCTCACAGAAAAACTCAGTAATGGCCTCCTGCTCCCTTCATCACCCCCAAACTTTGGCTGTCTCATTGCAGACCCCACCTCACCTCCCCAATCCCAACCCCAACCCATCCCATCCCTGCTGGACATCAAGACCCCCTTCCCAAGCTCGATTTCCACCATTTCACACCTCCCAAACTCCATCCCACCCATCCTGCCCCACCCAATGCTCATCTCACCCCTCCTGATCTGCATCCCACTTCACCCAATCCCCTTCCAACCCCATTCCACCTGATGCCTTCAGAAGGCTGACCTAGAACAGGGGCTGGACAGAGTTAAGAATAAAGTTTATTAGAAGGCTTTAAATACACCTTGGGCAGTACAAGAGCCTGGCCAGGGCTACACCCAAGATAGACCAGAAATGGTCACAAAAATGGACAAGTGATCATGAGGTCTCACATTTTCAGAAGTTTAGGTCCATCTGCATATTTGGATTCATTGTTCAGTTACAGCTTCAGATGATGAAGCCCCATCCTTCTTGTTTTCTCTCTACAGAGAAAAAGTTTTCTCTCCACCCTTGTTCATGCTTTTGGGCCTGGAACTTGTAACAATTGTCCTTGGTATCAAGCTAGAAAAGGAATTGTTTTGTCTACCTACTCTGTGAAGGGAGCTCACTAACACTTAATAGGAAGTTCAAAACTACAAACCTAGGCAGTGCAGAATATGAAAAATATGAAAGCTAAAACTTAAGGCAACACACCCTGAGGGACTTTGGAATCCAGTCATTCTGGGTGGGATTAAGTAGATTTCAATGGCACTGAGTGATTTTGAGGTGACAGATTGAACTCACTCGTCTCCTTGAGTGCCAAGAGATGGAGACAAATACACCAAATACCCCCAAAACCCTCCCCATTACCTCCCTGAATACCAGATTCCCTTCAAGCACTAGTAAAAAGTGAGGCTTTAGATGCCTTTGACAAATCTGTTGACTTTTACCCCAATTTTGTCTGTTTTAAAGGGATGAAGATGAATGAAAATGAGGGCCAAATCAAAATGACCACCAGCCCAGTGTGTTCTCAACAGAGATCACTGGGTACGTGGGTCATCAGAGCTCTGCCCAACGTGGGTCCTCTGATGGGGGATGGAGCTGGGGCAGTGCACGAAGCTCTTCCTGCACTTGGGGCACTCACAGGGCTTCCCTTACTGGTGCCTCCGTTGGTGTCTCGTCAAGTGAGAGCTCTGGGTGAAGCTCTTCCCACACTGGGGACACTCGTAGGGCCTCTCCCCAGTGTGGATGCGCCGGTGCTTGATGAGGTTGGAGTTGTGCTTGAAGCCCTTCCTGCAGTCGGGGCAGTGGAAGTGCCTCTCATCCGTGTGAATCCGCTGGTGCAGGAGGAGATGGGAGCTGGTCTGAAACCTCTTCCCACACTGGAGACACTCATAGGGCCTCTCCCCAGTGTGGATCATCTGGTGGATGGTCAGTTGTTTCCTCCATAT